ATTCAGGGTCTTTTGAGTTTCCATATGAATTTCAGGCTCATTTTTTCTAGTTCTGGAAAGAATTTCATTAATATTTTGAGGGGGAGTGCACTGAATCCTGTAGATTGTTTTGGGTTGTGTGGGCATTTTAGCAATATTTTTCCAGTCCGAAAGCACGGGAGGTATCTTTTGTAAGGCTGATCTGGAAGTCATGAATTCCCTCAGTGTTTGCTTATCTTGGAAGGTCTTTATTTACTTTTAATTTCTGAAATATATCCTTGCTGTGTATAGTAACCTTGGTTGTTTTGTTTAAGGATATGGAATATATCATTCTATTCCCTCCTGGCCTATAGGGTTTCTGTTAGTCTAATGGGGTAGCTATTAAAAGTGACTTGACACATCTCTCTTACAGATTTTTAGATTCTTTGTCTTATACTTTTGACAGTTTCACTATAATATGATCTGAAAAGATCTTCACAGCATATCTACTTGGGGTTCTATAATTGTCCTTCCTTTGAATATCCATGTCTTTCCTAAGATTAGAGAAGTTTTCTGTTATTAACTTATTGAAAAGTAATCTTTATCTCCTCACTTTAGATCTGGATGTTTAATGATCTTCCAAAGATCTTGAATGTTATCTTCATTCTTATTTCCTTTTTTTAAAAAAAATTTTGTTTGATTGGGACATTTCAAAGGACCTGTCTTCAAATTCAGATATTCTTTCTTCTGCTTAATCTAGTATATTGAGCTTCTAAATTGATTTCTTGTGCTCTTCATTACCTAAGGCCTGTTTGGTTCTTCTTCAAAATCTGTCTCTTTGCTAAATTTGGTATTCAAATCCTGCACTACCTTCCTAATTTCGTTTGTCTTCTCTTGGATCTCACTGAGCTTTTCTGTATCATTTGATTATCAGGCATTTCCTCCATTTTGATTTCTTTGGAATCTGTTGGAGGTGTCATAGTACCTTGTTTTTTTTTTCATATTTCTTGTATTCCTTCATTAGATGCCTGCATCTGATGGATCAGATTTCACTACCACTTTTATGGGATGGCCTTCACAGTAAGCATCTTTCTCATGAAGATATTTTGGGGTGTCAGTTTATCATGTAGTGTTGGCTTTGATCCTAGCTGAGCAACACTGCATATTCTCTACAACTTCTTTGGCTGTGGTCAGTGAGTTTGAGCACAATATGCACACCGTATCACAGTCAGAGAGATCCCGCATCTCTGGGCCATGAGAGAGCGGGGACACTCCAATAGTTCAGACAGGTGATATAGACGGCAGACTGTGTGAGGCGCACAGTGTGTGACTACTCATACAGTGGGAGTGGGGGCCCCTGTCTGGTAATGTTGACCTTGGCTCTGTTCCTAGCAAAGGCCTTTGGCACTCACAGTGAGCCTGAAGCCTGAACAGTGGTGAGGGCCAGACACTACAAGGGAGAGGTGGTGGCAGCAGCTGCAGTGTTCCCTTCTGTGGTGCTCACACCCAGTCCTGTCAGCATTGTGTGGTCAAACAAGGTGCAGAGGAACCATGTGGGTGGGTGGCAGCAAGAAGTATGGTTTTCCTTTCTGCTATTATGTAGAAGTGCCTGCCTGGAGAGGGACCTTTGATCCTGTATACCCACAGGCAGGGGAGCAGCTGGGGCTTTTCTCCCCCTGCAGACTCCTTTAGCACTAATGCCCACCTTGGTTGTGGGACATGCCCAGAGCAGGTTAAAGTTCCTCTTGGAGCCCCCTTTGGCCATACACACCTGGGACGGGGCAATAGTCAGAACCAACTGAGTTGCTCAAGGGCTCTTCAGCATGCCCCTGTGTGCAGGGCAACAGTGGACTCTCAGTTCCCACTCTGCCCTGTCAGAAGCCTGTGTGCAGAGCAGAGAAGAAGGGCAGTAGGAACTGTTAGGTACCTTCCTTAAGTCTTGGCATGAGTCTACCCATAGCTGGCCATGCCTGTGGTCTCAGAGTGCAAGCTCTCTGGTCTCCTGAGTGGTGCCCTCTATTCCCTCCATGTCAAAAAACCTGCTCCACAAGTTTGTAGAGATGTGAATGCTGTGGGTCCTGGAATCACACTGTGAGAAACCACTGTTCTAAGGTATGTCGGGGAGGAGTGCAGGTCCTGGAAGAATAGTATTTCTTCTTAAAAAAATGGATGAACAACAAGGGCAGAAAGGAGATATTAGGGAGGGGCCAACCAAAAATGGTTTAGGAAACCCTCCCCAAACCATTAGGTATCTTCTAATTCCGTTACTGTATTCAGACATGATTCATTTCTTATATTTTGGTAGACAGAGTTGCCTTTAGGTTTCCACAGTTTGCCTTGTAGTCTTCTTACCTACATGGTCTTTCTGGCTCCTTTTATTAGACTGCAAGTTTTCAAGGTCAAGGAGTGTGTTGGTTAATTTTGACTTCTAAAGTGCCTATTACAGGACTTCTCAGAAATACAGTTTGCTCTTTGAGTCAAATTCCTTTGTTTTCTTTTTGCATGAAGTGGAAAATGACTGGCCAAAGCACAACTCCAAATTCTCTCTCCATTTGTCAAATCTAAATTTTTTGTTAAGAAAATAGTAACTCTCCGAATTCCAAGTATAAATCCAATGAGTGACATTCTATCCTAGCATATAGTTGGTGCTATGTGAGTGACAGACACCAGGACAAATAGACCAGAAATGGAAAACGAAAACTTGGCTTCAGGGTCCAAGTCTGCTCAAAGAAGGCAGCACAAATACCAGGCTGCACTTGCATCCCTCCAGCAACATGAAACAATTCATGGAGGCAGAGGAAAGAGGAAATACAGGGTCTGCAGGAGGAGGGGTGGGGAAGGGAAGCTGCTTCACTGTAGTGTAGAGAAAAGCACCCCATCTGAAGATGACTCATCAGCCTGAGGTTAAGGACAAGGCTTCTAAATGAATTGCGAAATAAATCCCTAGAGCTTTTCTTTTTCCTTCCTGGGTGGGTACTGTGAAATCTGCAGCCTTGCTAGGCTCTGCATTTCTTCTACTGAAGTGGTCTCAAATAACTCATTCCTGAAAGGTCTGGTGCTCTTAAGGAACCAGTGTGATGACATCTCCCTTAGAGAGCATCATGGTGCAAGTTCTCCTTGAACCTGGACTATTGGGGATCAATGCCCTCCTTTGCTTCTGGCAAAATGTGTACATGCTCCCTGACACAGCCACTTTCCAGGGGTGCTGAAATCAACAGCCATCTCCACTTAAACTTGGAAAAGGCTTCTGGCTGGGTGTGAGGTCAAACGATCTGATGCACATTTAAATGAATGTAAAAGGAACACAAAGCCAAAAATATTTAATGACAGGTAACAGTTCTTTCCAATGCATAGAAGCACATTATAAAATGACACTTAAGTGTCAATGCATCCATTTAATTTTACCACTCTGTAATGGGGTCCTTTAATCAAAGTAATTTGCTTGAAAAAAAATAAACACATGTTTTTCAAATGTCTACTCTGCTCTAGACAGGTCTAAAATGTATTCATAATCGAACAGCCTCTATCTTGCCTTTTCTGATCAACAGAGCCATGGAGCGTTAGGCTAAAATGAACTGAGGAACTTATGGATATAGATTCCTTGAAAGCTTCAGAGTAAAATCTCTGGCTTCTTATGAAAATTTGATTTCCTTGAAGGAAGAACAACATTATCAGGTACCACAGTGGAAACATGAAAACCTCATTTGGGCTACCATGGTCACTGGATGTAGTCTGATAGAGGGATGCTACAGTGTACCATGCAAGCTGCTTTGTGTTCAAGTGATGTACCTTGCGTCTTTCTGCCCCTTATCAGACCACCTAGTCCTATGTAAATGTCATAAGATGAGGAGAGAGATGCAGACACTCCAGCTGCAGGAGCCAAAAGCTATAAGGTGGCAAATAAATAAAGTACCCAGAATAAAACCTGAATCTTAAAAACTTTGAAACCTGTTATATAGAACTTAGGAGAAACTAACCTGAAAGCAACACACAGTTTTCTATCTCAAAAGACTCCCCTTTCCTTTAGGGGCTGATCTACTGCTTTATTTTGGTAGATTCCTCTAGCTGCATTCCATGTTGGGAACACTTGGAGGATATGAATTTTTGTTGTGTGGCTCTATCTTGTACATTACAGGGTGTTGAGCAGCCTGGCCTAAGAAATTCCCCCAGTCACTGTAACAATCAGAAGGTAAAAGCTAACCCACCAAGCATGGATCGATAGCTTAACAATAACCTGTTGATGCGCTTTGCTTATTTAGTTTGAATGACATTCCTACTATGCTTTCATGGCGTTTCCCCACTGTCCATCATCCTGGAAGAGACTAACTTCAGGAGAAGAACACATACCACAGAACGAGGCCTATAGCAGTGGGGCTCCTGAAGCACAGACAATGTTTGTGTGTCCCTGAAGAACTGGTTGAGTGGGCCCCTGGAACAACTGGTAGGTCCTATCAGTGTTGTGACAATAGCCACCTTTGAGATAGCTGTAAAAGATCCCCTGGTGTACACATCTGAAGGTGTCAGAAGTTGCAGAATGGCTTACTGTACATACTATAAGTTAAGTGAAGGGGCAGCTTGGGAGAGAAGTGCTTCTTCCCAGCACAGAGCCATGATAAGAGCAGCGAGTAACATATGATGGCAGCAGGTGCAATGGAGAGCTGCTTGATGAGGAAGCAATGAGAGGAGACCCGGCGACATGCACACAGCATCCTGGGGAACTGCAGTATAACTGGGAAGCTGGGGGCTCAAAACATGATAGTTAAGGCAGCAATGGAAATATGACCTGTTTAATATTCACCAACCACAGGGCAGAACCTGGACATGTGACTACCACTGGAATCAACTCGGGTAAGAGGCCTGGACCAGATACCTCTGGCTTGCCCTGTGCACTTGCTGGCTTGATTCCTCCTGTCTCCTTCCTAGGACCTGGCACAGCCTACACAAAAATGTGCTAAAGGGATATTTTTCTTTAATCCAAAGGTTAAGGACTCTCTTAATGCTGTCTACTTGTTGTTCTTTCTTATTCCATACTGTCATTTCAGGATGTACCTGGGGAATGTGTGAGAAAAGGAATGAAAAAGGGAATGGCCTTTTGGAGGGGGGAATCAATTTTGACCAGCTGACACTGGATAAGTCAATTTTGGTGAGTCCTAACTCATTCCAATTTGTTGGAAATGTCTCATTCTGGATTTTAGAATGAACACTGTCTGCAGTTCTAAGGGCTGGGTGCACTGTGGCATGAACACACATTAAGTGTCCTAGTTGTTTAGACTCTCTACCATGATGTCCGAAAGAATCATACAGCTCTGCATTTCCATAGGCTTAAACTGGTTTGGGCTGGTTCAAACTAGTTGTGAATGACCAAATAGGTTTATTCCTTTAAAGTCTTTTAAAAATAGATTGAAACAGGTTATGGTTTGCTCAAACTAGTTTAAACCGGATTACCTTTGCCCTGACTTATTTAGACTAGCCAGGTTAGGTTTTCATTCTACTTGAAGCTAACCAGTTCAGTCTGTCTTGAACAGTATCAAGTGGTTAAAAAGCAATGCCACCTAGTTTGAACCAAGCCTAATACCAATGGACCTCTGTCAGTGGTAATCCAGGGATCCATCTCACATTTGAGGCATAATATTCAAAATGACGTCCTTCCTCATTGTATCAACTTTTCAGTCTATGATCATATGTACTTTCCTCAAGACTGGCTAGTGAGAACAACCTAAGTTGATAGTGTTTATAAATAAAAAGACTCCAGTGCACATTAGAAATCCTTTTCTGTTTAAAACTGTTGGCAGGGTCATAGATGAGCCCTGCTTATGATATTTCAATCTACTCTCTGACCTTGGACTAGACACAGGTGTGGGATGATGCTATAAACTTCTCAGGTGCCTGCAGTTGCCCACCATCCCCCTCCAACCTTGCAGATCTCCTCACCTTGATCCTGCTAACTGCTTCCTGGGCCTGCATCATGCGCACATTTTTGGAGGGGGTTTTGTCTGAGAGCAGCTGGGTGGAGCCAAGGTAATTGGCAGCAAAAATGATTCCATCGATCAAGTCTTCAGGGTCGCAAGGTCCAGGAACTGTAACACAGAGAGAACAGTGGTGAGTGAAGCCATCCTGGGCAGGCCCTCTACATCCAGACCATGTACACCCTTCCCCAAGTTCCCTGCTGGCAGAGCTGGTCTAAGGCATTGATGTCACCCCTCCTTTCCACACAGAAGGCACGGTTTCTTAGAGCCTTTTGAAATGATTCAAGTATTGACTTAAGTCTGAAAGAAAGTCTAGTGACAAGACTGAGTTCTTTGGGACAAGGACCATGTCATATTCATCTCTGTCATGTTCCAGTGCTGGTCACCTAATTGGTATCAACTAGATGTCTTCTGAATAAATGGTTAGGTGAATGGAAGGCTGCCTTGGGTAATGTCCATTTATAGCACTACCTACTACCTGTCACCTATTCATATCTCCTCTTCCCTTTAGTCCATAAGTGAAGGAAACACATTTAATTAGAAAAATGGGATGTTTCAGAACATCTGGATTTCTATGATGGCTTTTGACCCCAAAGCCATGGTCTCATGCTGCTAGGCTTGCCAACTTAGAGGCCATAATGCCCACAGTCTAGGCCCACACACTGATCAAATTTTCTGTTCTCACTCACCAGCCTAGTAAATCAAGTCTTATTTTAAATGGGGGCATCAGGTTCTAATCAAAACTACTATAAACCACTCCCAAAATTAAGGCCATATGTATCTTTCTCAGCAGCTGCCTGGTTCCCACCCTGGAACTTGTGTGGCTTTGAGGAGTTGGGTTATTTGTGATATGTGTTTTACCTGTAGAGTAGGGAAGCCCAGCTCTAAGGTAACACAGACAGTTTTGGACCCACACTATTATCAATATAAAGTAAAAAAGATTGCCGTCTTCTATGATAAGCGCCTAGAGGATGGATTTATATTGTTACTAAATCATTTTTGTCAATCAGATATTGAGAAAAAAATCTCACCTGGGATAATTTTAAGAACCTTCCATCTATTTTTAGAATATAATGTTCAACCCATCTTTCCTTTTTCTGTGCGGCTTTGACATAGCCATCTCTGATTTAGCACTATTCACTGAAAAGGGTCCCTTTGCAATGGCAGTGAGTATGCAGGTATTCTTAAAAGAAATCTAAATAATACTTGAATCATCACATAAGTGCCTAGCAACAAAGGCACATAAATATCAGACCTAAACAAAGTCTAAGTTTGAGATACGATCGCATACCATTTGTCCTTCAGGGAAATTGACTATAATTGAATGTACCTGTCTATCATGCCCAGGAAAAAAAAAAGTATTTTTATAAATTCACTTTAGGCTTGGTGCCAGTATATTTTAAAAAATTTTTTTTTTAAATTAAAGCTACAATGATCCTGCATCAAAGAATTGCAGGTTTCGTGGTGGCCTTTTAGAACACAGTTTTCCATTCCATGAGGCCTGCAGTTGCCCTGTGAGTCAAGGAGCACATCATGGGATGCATCCTCTCACTACTGTTGGGACTGAAAATCCCTAGGCCTGGAGAGACAAAGTGGAAACTTCCAAACTTCTGGAAGCTTTCTAAGGTGCTCTCATGGAATTCCAGAAATTCACAAAAATTATGCAAATAACAGATTATTTAATAAGGAAACAGGAGTTACTAAACCAAAACTAGGATCTTGTTCTGGGCTTGTGGACTGAGGGCTCATGAAGGTTTAGGATGCTCTGAGTTACCAGAGTTCATAACGGCTCCCTCACAGGGTCCAAAGGCTGGGCTTGGCCAACTTTAAGAAGATGGCAATTTGCCTTACCTGAAAAACGACCTGCCACCTACAGTTAGAGCATCAGGGCCATCCTATAGCCAGAGACAGACTCTGTGAATGAGAAACTGGCACTCCATTTGGGTGGCTTGACCTCAAATATCACAAAAAAAGGGCACAAAGCTTGAGCTACAGTCTAGTCCCAGGAGGCTTCTTGAATGGGTTTCCTTTTGCATTGAATAACCTGCACAACCAGAGGTGGCTCCCTGCGGAGTCAGCCTGCCCCTGGATCACAGCCTGGCTTTGCAGCTGGCTAACTGCATCATCTTGGCCCAGTTACTCACTCTCTTGATCATTGGTTCTCTTTTACCAAAACAAGAAGATAATAATAAAACCCACTTCCCAAGACTGATGTGTGGATTCAACTAGTATTTCATGCAAGGTGCTTAGAATAGTTCCTGACCCAGACTAGATGTTCAATAAATGTTACTCGTCCCAGCAAGAGATGGGAACCACTGGTAACGTTTTATGAAGGGGACCAAAATTTCTTCCCTTAAATTCATTCCCACTTGAATTATCTTTGAGGGATGCAAGAGGTACACTGGGCTAGCAGTAGGGAGACTTGGGTTTCAGATCATGACTAAGATGGATGAAGCCCAGAGGCTCACCTCCACCCTCGGGTTTGCTATCCACATGAGGAGCCAGGGAAGAGGGTTTCTGAGAGCTTCATAGCTATTACAGTCTAAGATACTAAGAATGTCAAGTCTGTGTCCCTTCTTCCCACTATTTCCTTATCTCCAGTGCTCGAAATGCCCCAAATGCTGAAAGATTCATGTGCTTAATATTCAGTGCTCTGTATTTTGAGCTCTTACCTTCAACGTAGGTTGGGAATGAAGCCAAGCTTTTTCTTGACTGTAATTAAGACAAAGAGGTTTCAAAAAGGGAAAAGCATGATATAATATGCATCAACACACCATCCATGCATCATGAAAAAGAAACACATTACTAGTGGCATTTGTTAACCAGTTATCAACCATTTTTTGTTAGTGTGTGTGGAGAAACATGTGCATTTATTATTCAAGGTTACCTCGAACCCAAAATAGGCCCTTCAAAGTGTTAGATAATTGGAAAACCCCACATTTCATAGAGGTCTATCAGCTTAAATAATATCACACAGACCAAAATCTATAAACAGCAATAAAAAGGGCACACTTTATATTCTCACACCTCTGCATTCCATGGGAAAAACAATTGATTAATAAAAGCACCCCAAACATAATTGTACACACAAATGAAGAACTCCCTGGGAGAAGTTTATTTTGTATCTAGGATGCAAGGATCTCTGTGCTAAAAATGTGTTAGATTTTTTCCCCCTCATCATCTCTTACTGATTTCAGTTGAAAACTGCATTATTATCTAAGTCATTATTATGTGTTTCCTTTAAGTAAGAACACAACACAGGAGTAAATTAAAAGCCCTGGCATTTCTTATATTATTATCTCCCAGCAGAGGCCAATCTTCTAACAGCACAGTTGGAAGTGGATATGAGGAACTAGAAACTTCTAGAACCTGACTTGGTGGCAGTATAAATGTAGCACTTAGAGGAGCAACACTTATCACATGCTCCTTCCAGAAGGAAATGTCCTAGCAATAACTCTTACAGAGTTGGAAATTCACTTCTGCTTCAAATAGTGACAGAACTTGTAGCTGATAAATCTGGGGCAGGGCTTAGTTTCCTGAAAGCATTTCAGGAGAGCTCATATTAAAAATAGGAGTCCTTATCCAGGCAAAAGGTAGTTTGCATGGCTGAGATTTTTATTGCTGAGAATCTCCAGGTATGATGTGATCATTTAAATATATGCCTTTTAGAGAAGGGGTATCTTGCACAGCATAGCTGCTCCATAGATTGATCTCTTAAAAGGTATGTGTCACATGAGAGAGCTCTTGGTGAGGGCTGGGATGTCACAGGAAAGAACTCATATGCTAGCACTTTTTTGAAGCCAAGCTTTTTCTTGACTGTAATTAAGACAAAGAGGTTTCAAAAAGGGAAAAGCATGATGTAATATGCATCAACACACCATCCATGCATCCATGCAAGTCCTTTACTTGGAAGAGGGGAATGCAAAGATATGATTGATTAGTTAATACACAACAGTTTAATAATTGTAATGTTAATTGTTATGTGAAAAACTGGGTGTAGTTAGTCGAAGACTAACTCAATTCAGGACAATGGTAAAAGGCCACACAAATCACACAGGGAGCCAACACAGGGCAACTTTTCAAGAAACCTACTGCAGATGGGTTCATACCGATGGCTTCTCATAGCAAAAGTGGGGGGATTTCTTGTGCATCAGGAATGAAAGGTTACTGGCTGCTAATGTATTTATGGAAAAACAACACCAAATATAAGCCAGGATAGGAGGTAAGAACTCCAATTCTACTTGTCCAAGTCAGGACAGGGCCAGCTGAGTGCCAATAGAATTCTGATTGGTTTAAAGATCAACTCCCACAATTGGTTATACGAATTTCTTCATAATGGCCAAAGTCTTAAATTATAATTTCCCAACCATTTTCCTGCCCTTGTGCCCAGTAGCAAGTGCGCAGCAGGTTTGGGAATTTACACTGCTTAGTCTCCAAATACATCCAGGTTGCCAGTTTGGATTTTCTTAGGCTATTAGGATACTTCCCTGAATGCAAATTTCAAAGACAGTGTCCAAGTTTTAGCAGATGCTACAAGAAGAATTTCTTTAGTCTCTGGTTATAAAAGCTGCTGTTTTATTTAGAGCTACAATGGTAAGCATTTGGTACATTTCCTTACTATTTATGAACTCATGACTAGCTTTCTTTGGTTTCTGGGGTAATCAGTTTAAAAAAAGTTTGGTGAAATGAAATACTCTCTAATTATTGCACACAAGGAGGATTTTCATCATTATTTCTAAGGATATGCAGAAGCATGAGCCAAGTCTTTGTAGGAACTGAAAAACTAACAAATTTGCCTTGCTCATTATATCTGAAACCTAATCAAAGGCTGGATATTCAGACATCTGATTAGCTCTTTGTTTTCTCACATGTGGACTGAGGTGAACATCAGCCACCCATTAGCACTCAAGAGATAATAAAACTGCATTCAAGAAGCTAAAGTCTGAGATCTTTGGGGTTTTCCTGGGGCTCACACAAACTATGTGCAGAGCCTGGAGTCTTCACAATTAAAATAATTACCTACAAGCTACCTTGTCTCTGCAGTCTGTGGCCTCAGGTAAGTTACTTAACCTCTTAGCTTTCTCAACTAAGAAATGAAGGCAATGATATCCACTTCACAGAATTAACTTAAGGATTAAATGAGATACTATCTGATTTGCTCAGTCTGGCATTTAGAATACTGTACATGCTCAATAAATGATAATGCTCATTACTGCTGTTATCATTGCAGCTGTCATTCTACTATTTCTTACCCACCCATGTACTATGAATAGAATATGAAGCAAACAAATGGAGGATCCTGTCACAGTAGCCTAGGGTTAGAGGACAGAGGAGGACAAAATATATTTCCAGTCTAATACTAGTGCCATTTCAGAAAAGGTTTGATATAAACATTAATAAAAAAATATGCTTCTCCCTCCCATGAATAGCGTATATATTCCATGGCACTTTAAGGGTAAACTTTGGCTAAGACTCCCTTTTAAAAGCAATCTGCCACTCAAGTTACAATAGATCATCTCAAGTTCTCTCCTGTTGCTGATAATTTTATGTTACATGCAATGGAAGAACCCAATCATTCATTATATGGCTCACCTCTTTGACACATCTCTGCAGTGTGGAAGAGGGAACATCTATATTTGGAGCTCACGCACAGATTATTGCGCAGGTCAATATTTCTGTGGCCCACAAATAGGTGGGATGACAGTTACCTGGGTGTAAAGGGCATTGGGTTCTGGCCTTTTGTAGCCCCAGAAACCTCAGAAGGAAAAAATAGCATCTTTTTTTAATATGATCTGTCAGAGCTCAACGAGTTCTCTGTAAGTAGGGGTGAACATACAACTTGTCCAACAGGGACACCTTAGAGCTGTTCCATCCAGTGGTGCCCAGCCATGTATGCCTTTTAAGTTAATGAAAATCTATTCAGTTCTTCAGCCCCACTGGCCACATTTTAAGGAGGTTAGGAACATGTGAGGTTAAGGACCACCCTACCCAACAGTACAGAAGTAGAACATTTCCATCATCGCAGAAAGTTCTCTTGGACAGCACCATTGTAGAAAGGTGTACTGACAATCAGATGTGAAGCTGAACCACACTCCAGGTAAACTGGGACATGTGGTCACTGGCTTTTAGATTTCACCTGGGCCTGAACTAAATGGGTATTTAAGAAACCAACTCATTTCCCAAATCACACAGCAACTGTCAATCCATGGTATCAGAAGGCACCTAATGCCAGAGGAAGGATTCTGGTACTTGGATTTTCTGATAGGGTCCAGTGTTATCCAATAGAACTGTCTACAAGGATGTAAAAGTCCTGTGACCTGCTATGTCCAATACAGTAGCCACAGGTGGCCACTGAGCATTTAAAATGTTAACTAGCATGGAGGAGGACATAAATTTTTCATTTTACTCAATTAAAGTATATTAAAATTAATTAAAATAGACAACCATGGCTATCAAATAGGATGGAATAATTTTACCAGATAAATTATACACTGGATTGGAAAAATCAGTGTTCTTCCCTGGGGTAATTTGGGCCAGTTGTGCCACAGGGGCTGCAGACCTCACAGAGCAGTGTTAGAATAAAGCACAATGGGCCAATGGCTGTGGTGGCGCATGGTGCCCTACCTCTTTATTTGTGGAGGCTTCCGTGGGGTCACTGGGATGAAGGGGTGTGCTCGACGATTCTGCACCCAGGGGTGAGGAACTGCCAGGAGATGGAGACTAGAACACAACAAGAGGATAGACAGCAGTGAGAACCCAAGGGATATGGCAACACCCAGCCCAGGACAAGGGGACAGGCAGAGGGGGCAAGTGGACTCTAATGATGGGATACTTCAGTGGAGAGGAACACCTTTGGAAAAGGGCGGACTCCAAGTACACAGAACAGGCCAGGGTGTCTAGGTTTGCTTTTCTATTCCTACCATCCCTCCCAGGAGTTTTATAACTCTAGGACCTTTTCTTTCCCCTTAGGCTAACTATTGAAAGAAAATGTAGAAAAAGTTGTCTATCAAACTGAAAGTCCTTAATGAATAGAGTTAAGGGTATTATACAATTGTTTTTTTCTTAAGGAAAAATATGCATACCTAGTTAACAAATGGCTTACAAAATCATGCCCAAGATACTCTGAATGGAAAAGAAAAATTAAAGCCTGCAATTTTAAAGAGGCAGAGGGACTGATTTTGATGACTGAAAAGCACATCACCTGTGTTTTTCTTGGTCAGTTCAGATTTCAAATATATTGTCTGACTTAATTCAGAGAAATTTCAATATCCAAACCACATACCCTTGTGTGCTCTTAGAATGGTTCAGAAATCCTTTGCCAAATGATTGAAAATAACGTTTGGGGGGTGGGGTCAGGCGCCCAGGGAGGCCTTGCTAGATGTGAATGTGAAATTTCTGAGTCAGTGCCCAAAATACAGCAGGTGCTCCATAAGCATATCCTGAGCAAATGACCAAAAAAAGCCAGCAAGCACAGGCCTGGAACAAACAGGCTCTGGAAACGTGTCCCCGATGTTATGAGAATATTTCTTCCTGCTCCTGAAATCTTGGGAGCTGAGGGTATATTCAGGTGAATATAGATGTTAAGGGTATTAACATCTATATGTTAGATGGCTAAGAATTCTGCAGCGATGGCCCTCTGAGAGGGAGTGCTGTGCTTCCTGGTGTGGGTGATGCCTGACAATAGGCATAAAACACAGAAGCCACACAGGAGGAATTCTCTCAGGAAGTACAGGGATATGAGCCAGGGGAGGGAAGTCCCAGGCAAAAAAAATCAAACTACCATTGGTATTTGCTTGAATCCATGTCTGATCTCTTGTGACTGGCCCCTTGGGAAGGTGGAGGCCAGAGGCATCAGTAAAATACGTCTGCTCAGGAAGGGAGAATAGCTTACAAAGCAATGGTGCTGGCGAGGAGAGCATGTTAACAGACCAGGGGATCTCTCACATTACTTCACATTATGTGAAATTTAAAAAGAAAAATCTTTTCTAAAAAGTCTGAATTATAGGGGGCAGCAAATGAACCAAAAGACGATACAGTAAAGTGCTATTCAGATCAAGTAGTTCTTTGATCCGAGTCTACGGCTGTGAGGCTAGGGTTTGTTTCCCATCAGTACATATATTACCCAATTCTGGGCAGGGAGGTGTGGACCAATGAACCCCTTAAGTAGTCACACCAGAAATTGGACATTGCAGTAAAGCCAAGAGGGCAGGCACAGAGTAACAAAGTATCCACAGACCCTGGTCACAGTAAAGCAGTCCTGAATACCTTTAAAAACACACACAGAATTTTTCACTTGTCACCCACGAAGCCTGGTGGGTACTTGGTGATTTAGCATTGTTAGGTCTATTAAAAATTAATGTATAAAAATCTTTATGAGAATTTAATGCCCTTAAATTTTCCCCAGTTTTTCAAATCTGAACAGCTTCCTTCAGTATTTATGGCCGGGCCACCCTGACAAACAATTTTCTTTGTCACAAAGATTTTAAGGGTCTAACCCCTGGGGAAGCTAGTGCAGTGAATTTTTTAACTGCTTGATTTCAGGGCTGGCAAATTCTTCATTAAAAAATCAATCCCCTGAGAGTTCCCTATTTCCTATTTATTTTCAGCTCCAATATTCTAAAAATAGATTCCTTATAATTTTGCAGGCACCAGATCTTCTTAGGATGATGTGAGAGCCCAGGTTCTCTGGACGGTGGGTGAGGACATGGACCAGGGAGCTCACACCCCACAGCTTAGCTAAGTGACCCCCAGGAAATGCTGGGGAAGAAGAACTAACAAAACCTGGGGGCACTCTTATGGATCCACGCCAAACATATCAGGGACTACTTCCAGATGATGTGGACTGTACACAAAGCTCGGATGAATCTCTTTCCATGGGCACATGTGACAAATGACCTCCATCTACAGAGTCCCCCTCCACTCTCCTCCAGTCAGTGTTCAGTTCAGAAGTGCTCATCTCACTGCTTTCTCAGTCTCAGTTCACTTCCTCCCTGATGGCATGTGCCATGATTTCTAATTATCATATATATACACGAATGGCTCCCAGCCCCAAAAACTCTTCGGTGATAGGGATTTTGTCTCCTTCAACTTATCACCCAAGTGCCAAGTCTTGGGTCTGGTAAACACTAAATACTCAGCCACTGTAGGCGCTGAATAAATGATTTCAACTTGCATGAGAAACAGATGCCTACTAATTTCTGGATTAGTTGTTGGTGGTCAGTGGCAAGCCCCCTTCTAATTTTGTCCCTCCATTGCTGTGCAGAAATCCTATCTGGATTTTGTATTAGATAAATGGCCTTTGCCTGTGAAAACTCTAACCCAGGCCCCAGTGAAGCTCTTTTGAAAGACAGCCATCTCAAAAGAAGAGGAACCCATCGAGCAGAAGTCTACAAACCATCACATACCACTAGTGACCGAGTCAAGGGTGGACAAGCACCTTCAATCAGACCCAGCCTCCATGTTGAAATAAAGGAATTCAAAATTGTGCTTCTAAAACCCTTTCCCTGTTACCTCCAATGTCCACCTCCTTAAAGTGGAAGAAAAAACAAATTGGATAATACTTTTTACTTTCAAAGAATGGATGAGAGACAAATTTTACCCAATATTAAAAAAGTAAAAGTTAACAAAATATATATATTTTTGTCTGGTGTCTCATGCCTTCTGGGCTGTTGGGTGGATATTCAATCTTGAGCAAATGAGACCAAGTGGGGACAGTAAATGTGGATTAGGGAATTCACATAGGTGAGTGCTTAACAAGAAGTCTTCAGGATGCCATATTTCAAGCTAACCTTCAATGATGCTGTTGTATATAATTATAAGAGCTCAATACTTTGTCTTGTGCAGATGACGTCCTAGCAGATCATATTTTAGCAGATCCCTCACAACTGTGATCCAAGTTTTATTTCCTCTGCTCTGGCACTCCAAAAAGTAGAGCTCTTGGCCTTAAGTCTTAATTCTCTCAATGCCAAAATCAGAGAATAGTCCCATCCAAGGCCTGGGCAGAAGTGGCCTAAGGATGCAAAAGCAACCCTGGGGAAAGCTGATTATTCATTTTAGTCCTGAATGAACAGCCAGCTCCTAGTGGCAATAAGTGTGCTACTGTGGTCAGGGTGAAACAGACACAGTTCCAGGGACTCTCCGGCTAGGCCTCTGGGGGAGGAAAGTGGCATGCAAAGAATTACTATTCATTTATTCCTACAGAAGGCATCTCGGTGTCTACCTATATTCCTAACACTAGGCCAGGACGCAAAGAAGGAGGCAACGTGCTTCCCAAGAATGAGAGGAAGCCGACAGGTGAAGACAGGACTGCGGCCTGTGGCTAGGCTATCAGTCTGCGCAGTGGGGACTGAGCTGGGAGTGATCAACTCTGCAGGAGGGTGTGTCTTGGGCAGTGTGTCATGGGAAAGGCAAAACTTCTGCTGAATCCTCAACACTGCACAGTACTCAACAAGTACTCCGTCTGGGCAGCCAGGGACCAGACTGAGGGTAAGTGTCTGGAGCCTCATCCAGGATCACAAAGGCTTGAAACAGCTCTATTCTCTGCTCAGGAACTGATTTTTTTTTTGAGTCATTAGCCTGTTGTCCTCACTGAAGAGGCCTGATACCGGGACTTCAGAACTGTTTTCTGAGTTGATGATCTAAAGGAGTGAGGGATTGAGGTTTTACTATGGCCTCTTTCCCTTTCCCTTAATCCTTTTCACCCTTTGAAATCGGATGGGGAAAAGAAAGATAACCATCTGAAGAGTGAACGGGATGATAATGATAATACGCCAAAGCTAGAGGTAGAGGGCCCTGCCCTTTTCTGGTGGATAATGGACGCTGCTTCTCCAAGAAAGGCCCAAGGACTGGGGCAGGGCTTCCAAGAGCAAAGCTGTGATTTGGCAAGATGGACAGAGATCTTGAGGGACTTGTGGGGACGTTCTAGTCAAAAGCCATAAAAGTGAGCTCTCCCAGGCCATTCACTTAGTCATCCAACACTGAAGTCCTGACAGGTCTGCCTGTCACATCCCTGCCTTACCCCAGGGAGCGCCCAGTGTAGCAGGGGAGACCCACAGGTTACAAATACAAGGTGTCCTCTGCCAACAGTGATCACTGTCTCAGTCCCTACAGGAAAACAAACGTCATAATGACACAAAAACACTCACAAATGAGCTGACTTCTTACAATGCTGGTGTCCACCTGAAAAGCCCTCCCCCATGCTAACATCTGTCTGATCCAGGTCTTAGTCAACTGGTCTCCTATTGACTGTCAGGACTACCTGGCATTACAAGGTCAAAACAATACAAAAATATAAAAACAGAAACAGCCAAGTTGAGAGTAGTATAAATAGTACAAAAATAAGTAATAATAAATAGGTAGCAAAATTCCATAAAGTTGGAGAAGGCAAAGTTGGAAAACTGCTTAAACAGCTACTGACAGTGGAGGAGTTGGCATTACCAGGTAATGCTGTGGCAGAGGGAGCCAAGAGGGCTGAACAGAAGTGCCCTGCGCATGACTCTGCCACAGAGAAGAGTCAAAGCAGCAGAGAAGGAACTATTTTTTTAGGACAGTGAAAGAGGAAGAACTTTGGAAATCAGCAAACTGACAGTAATACTAAATAGCATGGACACTCAGGCAACTTAGAAGAACAAAGCCATTTCCGACTTCAAGGGCTTCCCAGTTGGAAATGAGGAACCTGATGCTATTGGCCAAAGGCACACAGGAAAGTTCCAGCAATTCTGGCCACAGCAGCAGACTGGCATCCGTAACTACAAGAGAATTCCATGGTACTTAGAAGCTTTAGGGAACCAATGGGTCTGAAAGTAACTCCTCTACTCTGAAGAAGATGCTCACTTTGGACCTCCCAGCCCCAGAACTCAAGCTTTAAGAGTCCCTGCTAGATGCCATCTTGGCCAAGGGGCTGCAGCTGCATTGAACTGTACCAGATGCCTTTGCCAGTATATGTCTCACCAGGCAGAAGAAGCCTCCCCAGTGTCCTGCGGTTTCAGAACCAGTGGTGTCATGGTCACAAGCCAAGACCCACCCATGCTTGTCTTGCATAACTCTGGAGAACCTGCTCCCCAGACCACACTTTTGGGACTGCCACTGCTGCAACATTCCAGTTTCACTTTTGCCTGTGCATCAGGAGTTGGAAAAGCGCTTGGCCAGGCCCCACAGATCCAGGAACAAAAGGGCCAGTGAACCAACCCCCACCTGTGTTTCCCTGGTGGGATTTAAAGAAGATTCCCATTCCTCCCTATAGCCTTGGACTGTGCCACTATTGCAAAACCTGGCTTTACCCACAGCTGGGCATCAGCATCAGGGAAAGCTCCCAGCTGAGCCCCAGGAATGCAGCAACCATTGGTTCCAATGACCAACACATGCACTCAGCTGGCAGGATCTAGGAAAGATCTTCCCAGCCCATAGCCTTAGAATGACAACTGCAGGTGCAAAAAGCCTTGGCCTCACTCATGCTTGGCTCTGGAGACAAAGAGAAAGTCCCATCTGTGTTTTCCAGTTCACAGACTACAAGAATCAATGCCACAAGTCTTGTTCTCACTAGAGCTTTATATGCATTTTATATATATGTAAATTTCCAGATCCTGTGGCTCCAGACTTGTGGCTGCTGGTCCCACAGGCCCAGACATCTTCTTTATTCATCCTGTGAATACTGGGAAAAAGTCTTCACGGCCTTTGACTCAAGAACTGTGGTGCCTGGTGCCACAACCCTTGGCATACCTGGGCTTGTCCTGAGAAACTTGGAGACAGCATTCCTCATATCTGATACCACTAAAACTGTGTCAGCTGCCCCACAATCCCCAGTGCCATCAGGGCTGAATTCTGTGGAGCCTGAAGATAAACCCTTGGAAGCCTGTGTTCATTGCAAAGTCATACAATTACCTTGATGAAATAATGCAGTCTAGACTTTTACTCCCAGACACTGCTGACATCAATCAAAGATGAAGAAATTACACAGGGACTATGCTTTTGAATTCTCCTATTACCAAACCTATCCAGCCAATATCCTGTATCTCATTTAAACAAAAAGCTCTTTTCCTACAAAATCTACTTCATAAAATTGGAAACAACAAACATTACCCCAACTGTGTGGATATCAAAGAAACAAGAAAAATAATTCAGGAAAAGACAACTCATAAAACAGAACCTATTAGAAATCTTGGAAGTAAAAGTTTCAATCAGTGAAATTGAAAATAATATAGAGAGCTTCCACAACAAAATACAAGAAGCAGAATAATGAATTTTGGAACTTGAAGATAGGTCTTTTGAATTAATCCAGTCAAACCAAAAATAAAAAATAAAAAAAATAAAAAGAATGAAGAAAGCCTATGAGACTTTTGGGACCCCAACAAGGGACCAAACATTCCCATTCCCATGGGAATTCCAGAAGTTGAAGAAAAAGGGCAAAGCACTGAAAATATACTTTGTGAAATAACAGCTGTAAACTTTCAAAATCTTCAAAGAGAAAACCAAGGACCCCAACTAGATTTAACCCAAACAAACCTTAACTAAGACAAATTATGCTCAAAATATCAGAAATACAAGACAAAAAAGAATCTTAAAACAGAAAAAGATTAAGTCACATATAAGAGAAGGCCCATGACACTTACAGATTTCTTAGAACCTTTTAAATCAGGAAAGAATGAGTTGATATATTCAAAATAGTGAAAGAAAATAAACAAAACAAAACCAGCCAACTATGAATATTTTACCCAGCAAAATTATCTTTTAAGATAGAAAGTCTTTGCCAAATAAGCAGAAACTGAGGGAATTCATCACCACCAGATGAATCCCTATAAGAAATGCTCAATGGATTCCGATATTAGAAATGAAAAGGTGATAACTATCATTGGAAAACACATGGGTATACAAAACTCACTGACAAATAGATACACAAAAGATAAAGAGAATCACACCTTAGCATCACAGAAAAATACCCAATCACAAAGATAAATAACAAAAGAGGTTGAAAGGAACAAAAAATATACAAAGTAAGGCGAATACAATTAATTGCAGAATGAAGTTATATTTATCAATAATAACCCTGAATGTAAGTGGATTAAATTTACCAGAGACTGGATGAATGGATATAAAACCAAACAACAACAACAATAACAAAAACACAGCTATATGCTGCCTACAAGTAACTCAGTTCACTTAAAAGCAACACAGAGACCCAAAGTGAAGGGAAAGATAAAGTTTAAAGTTTGAATTTAAATGAGCAGGAATAACTACATTCATATTAACTAAAGTAAACTTTAAATTTAAAAAGTCTATAAAAAGAGACAAAGAAGGCATATATAGATAGATGAAAGGATTTATTTGGCAAGAAGATATAACAATTGTAAGTTATTTGCATCCATCATGAGATCACACAAATACATAAAGCAAATATTATTAGATTTAAAGCCATTATTAGATTTAAAGCCATTCCCGACTTCAAGGGCTTCCCAGTTGGAATTGAGAAACCTGATGCTATTGGCCAAAGGCACACAGGAAAGTTCCAGCAACTCTAGCCATAGCAGCAGACTGGCAGTCGTAACTACAAGAGAATTCCATGGTACTTAGAAGCTTTAGGGAACCAATGGGTCTGAA